ATACATCTGTGGGGCAGGCTCGTACACATTGAGTACATCTTATGCATGTATCATAAATTTTTATTGAATGCACGCGTTGCCGATTAGTCTTTTTTTGTAAAAATGACAAAGTCTATGTATTCGATATCATAGCATTAAGTCTAAAAGAGTTTATTCTTTTAGCATAACGTTACATATGGAACAGACTTAGATAATCCACATGCTAGCCTGACTCAAATGGTAGTCAGTAAAGGGTTATCAAATTCGTTGATGGATGAGCGTTTTCAAAAAAATCCTATGAATGTTTGCGAGCCTATCAGCTGAATAGATGTGAGCCATGACGTGACGTTTGAGAGGTTCTACTCATGAGTAGTTTGTACAGTAGCTACAGTTTCTCATTGAAGCTCATACTCATACGGGTTCTGCATGGCAAATCCCTTCAACTAATATGCCTTCTAAGTGGGTGCAGAGAACAACTTCTTTATGATAAGGAATCAACAACTTCAAGATCAGAGTTGAGATCTAAAGTATTCTAAAAATTCATCCCAGTCAATCGCGAACTTTCGAAAACTTTGGAGGGGGTTTTGTAGGCTGTCTAAAAATTACTACAGATAGCTTATCTCCATCAAACACCAATAGTAGAAGTCACAATTTGACGGCTTTCAGAAGACTACAATTTGAAGACTTTCACGTAGATGATGATATTTGCAATGCTCTAATTCAACAGCCTTCATAATTAACATTGGGAGTTACAATCTGATGACTCTCATATTTTCAAAGAGCTAAGACGAAGGTTACAAGATGATGATATTTGCAACGCTCTAGGAAAAGAGATTACAAATTGATGGTCTCTTCAAATAATAATGCAAATATCTCTCAAACTGTAAGGAATTTGGAAAAATAGAGGAAGTAAACCGAACCCTTTGGGGTAGGTTTGGTCGGCTCTGTCTCATTGAGATAGTCGATTTTCATATATAATTCGTCTAATTCTGACTTACGGTTTGAAAGTTATGACCTGTTCTTCGTAGCAAGTTATGTTCTGAAGTCCGTCTGCAAGACTGAACTTCGGCTGAACATGAGACTTAGCCTGAAGCTCACCTGAGGCTCGCCTCTGTGTTTCAGAGTCAAAACATAGGGCTCATCCCCACGTTCCAGATTCAAAACGCAGAGGTCATGCTTGCGTTCCAGGGTCAAAACACAAAGGTCATCCCCAACGTTCAAGTTCAAAACACAGGGTTTATCCCTAGCGTTCAAGTTCAAAACACAGGGTTTATCCCCAGCGTTCAAGTTCAAAACACAGGGTTCATCCCCAGCGTTGCAGTTGAAAACACAGAGTTCGTGGACTCAAAACGTAGAGTTTACAATGCCATGCGAACACGATGTTTTCAGCCTAAAACAGGCCCAACTCTACGTTTCAAGTATAAAGCGCAAAGTTCGGGCCCAAAACGCTATTTTCAGCGATTGACTCATTCAAAGCACAAACTGAACGGTTCCATAAACCGTTTTCTCCCCACAATTTGAGGGATTTCTTTCCTACTTAGGAGCAGATTAAGGGGGCGGTTACACCCCATTCAACCCCATTATAGAGAATTAAGTGAGCGGTTACACCCCTTAATCCTCTATAAATAGGTGAAAAATCAGCTTAGTTCGGATCTTTCAGCTTGGCAGCAAAGAAGAGATCTTTAGCCGGCTTTTTGGAATCTTTGATCTGAAGCTTTGGAGATCAGCAACTTGGAGGAACTCTTGGATCATCTCGAAAGCCTTTGATTGAAGACTTTGAGATTACTCGGCTTGGCTTTTTGAACTCTTTCTAAGAGTTCTTCTCAACTCGATCAGAGTTAAAAACTTACTCTGCAAGTTCTTCGAAACTCGTTCAGAGTTTTTTAACTCATTCAGAGTTTTAAACTTGCCATGCAAGTTCTCCTCAACGTCAATCAAGAGGAATCAAGCATGTTCCACAAAGCGAGATGGTCGGATCATCAACGAGAAGCAAACTTGATACGAACGTTGAGGGAGGCATCTCATCGCCACCATGAAGAACCCATGTTAAACAAAGGGGAGGATCTCCGTCGATCTTCTTCTCTTTTGTAAATCGGGAATCCGATGCAAGAAGTTTGTAATTTTATTTTCTAAGCCTGTTAGAGAGAGACTGCATTGAGAGAATTGTATTCATTCTTTGTATAAGCTAGTTAGAGAGATAATACAATAAATCATATTCTTAATTATCTTCTTACAAATTTTCCCACCAAACAGGACATATGCCTCAATAGTTTTCTGGATGGGATTTAAGCTGAGAGAATGCAAAAGAAAGTTAGCCTCAAAAGAATTATGAGCATCAAACCTAATCGAAATGAAACAAGTTAATATAGCTGTTGGCAATGATGGACAGACCTAAGCGATGACTTGTTGTCGTACAAACTTATGGTGTTTAGGAGTGCTGTAAAATTGATCAGATAGAGCTCGAAACTGAACCAATATGCAAGAAACAAGTAAGATCAGTTAACAAGAGGGAAACGTCAAAATAGTCAACATGAAAAAAGAAGATTCTGGAGCACTTCAGGTTGGACATCTTTGATATAGGATCAAGAAGTAATGCATAAGGCAATTGCGCTAGACATGTTAGCTCAAGCCGAGGAGTTTTAACATGAGTGTGTGGGTGCAGACATAAGTGCCGTGCATCAGTAAATGTCATGCATCAGTGTCTCAGAAGCAAAATGTAGAAATTATAAAATAGATTAATAACTTCACATTAAGTCAGTTGTCTAGTAAATGTCATGCATCAGTGTCATTATTAACATAAAGAGTTATATAGTTGTGATTTATAGACAGAGACATAAGTGTTCTATGCTAGAGCAAACTGAAGTTTCAGATATGGCAACATAGTTCGTGTGGGTGCAGACATGCATGTTATTTTTATAATGATTAATTCATTATAATATCATCTTAAAATGAGGAACACTGCAAAGAATAGGCTAGGAACACTGCAATCATAGCCAGTACACCCCTATATAGAAAATGACAAAGATGTCAGCAAGAATCTATTCTTCTATACAAATGGGAGGATCAGAGAATTACTGTTCATGCGACAGTAATTCTCTCTCCTCCCATTTGTATTATGAACCCGAACCCCAACTCCAGCTTCTCTCAGATACCCGATTCAAATTTCAAACTTCCCCCTTCTCTCGAAATCCCCACACCTCACTCTCTCTCCCCTCTCTCTCCAGAAGCAACGCCTTCTCTCGGAATCCCCCCACATCCCTCTCTCCTCTCTCTCTCCAGAAGCAACCAGAAGCAAGAAGAGGGGGGGAAATGGAGAAAAATCAAAGCAAGAAAAACCCCCTATCTCAGGCTTCTCACCCTGATCCAGAGACAAAAAAAAAACTCTCAATCCGTATGAGTTCCCCCCTCTCTTCTGCATCGTCAACGGCCTCTTCCGCCGCCTCCCCTCCCACCTCGTTTTTTTTAGCTTTTATTGCATATTAACTGATTCTGGAGGTATATTTGTTTAGTATTCATTGATACGTAGACATGTAAATGCCAGTCTTTATTGCTTGATATATGAAAGAAAAAAAATTGGTCACCAAAACTTTGAATCAGCAATTTCTTGGTGAATTTATGGAAGAACATTTAATATATGAGAACAAATAAAAATGCTAACTTCTCATAACTTCATCTGAATTTTAAATGTAATTATAGATATGAAGTTTGATTGATATGTAGACATGTAAATGCTAGTCTTCTTCTGAACCCGTTACATTCTGATACCTGGATTTCATTCAATTTTGCTGATTATGTTTACTGAGCCGATTTCACTCAAATTTGCTAATTATAGTTTAACATATTGCGTCGTACGTGCTCATCGAAATTCGATAACTCTAATCGAATTCTAAAGGTAAATTCAATCTCTTTAAAAGGTTTGGTTGGACTACCATTTAGTTTGGCTAAGGTTGCGAGAAGAAAAATGTAGTAGAGGAAGAGAGCTCCTTGATTCTGAACGCATGTTTGCAATTATCCATGAATGTAATTTTCTCAAGTATTCATTGATATGTGATCTAAGAGTTTATTTGCAATGTGCAGGGGTTGGGTTATTAGATATTAGATATTAGATACCACCCATAAAATTTTGTAGTCGTCCAGATAAGCTTCCTAATCCTAAGTCAAGAAAACTATTTGTTAAGACTGCAAGTGCCTACAAAGTATGGATTTGATCCTTTGTAGTTTTTATATTATTGAACCACTCTTATTCATACTTTTTTGCTTCTGATTTATGTGCATTCAGAGGATGTAGAGTATACTTTCAAGTGATTATTACATTTTAAATCTCTAATTACATGATTATCTTTCAGCTCTATTTGTGGTTTGACATGAGATCCAATGTGAAGGTAATTTCTCTCTTTGTATCTTTTTCGTAAATTTAGTATTAAAATTCATTACTCAGCATCATGTAAATAGAAAATTTTGTATATGTGTAGCTGAATTCTTGGGTATTTCCACGAGCGTTCCAGCATTCTTGGACCCCAATCTCACTCCTGCACAGCTCAAACATGGCGTCAGTTTCGGATCAGCCTCTTCAGGATATGAGAATTAACCTCCACAAGTGCAGTATGCTAATCCCCAATCTCTTATGGTTTCAAATTAATCAACATTTATTAACAAAACCATTTAATCTAGCTCTTCTCATTTTCGCCTGCAGGGTGTAATATCGATGGCCAAACAAGTAGACTACTTGAAGCATTACAAACTCCGGGGAAAAAATAGGTAAATGATTTTTTTCCAGAAGTACTGATAATTTTAATATATAAAGGTTCACAACAACTTTAAACTTTTGGTGTAGAGCAACTCAGACTTGATTCACACGAACTATGAATATAAGACAGATTTAGAAAAGATTTCAATGCGTGAATTAGGATTGCGAGCAACTTCAAACTATAATAATGTTTATGCTTGGGTTTTGTTTTTAATCATATTTTGATATGGGTTTTGTTTTTAAATGGTGAATTAGGCTTGCGAGGTCGAGTTTCATGTCGGGTCATATTTATTCTTGGAGGGCATCTTATGTTTATGCTCATGGTTTGTTCTCTACTCCCTTTTTATTAGGAATATTTTTATGTTTACTTTTTTTGGTATGTGTGCATTTATTTGTATTTGAAATGCCCTCTATAATAATGGGTTTGCTCCATTTTTCTTCAAGTTGATTTATAGGAACAAACTATAATAATGTAACATTACAATACCTCTATGCCTATATATTCATGTATATGGTTATTATATTGAATATTAAGATTTTCACCCACTCCTACATTAGATGTTTAGTTGTAAGATGCATTTGAATGTCTTATTTTTCATGATTCATAATTAGTGGGTGTTGAAAATCTAAGAATCCAGGCATGTAAAGATACAAATTGGATTTTGATGGAAGGATGGAACCTAAGTAGAGTTTCTGTATTAGATTCTGATAATTGTTACATATTGAACTAAAGTTTTCTTTTATCCATCTTTCTTTTAGTTGTGGTCGTGCTTGAAAGCTCTAAAAGAAAGACAAAAGGAGTAATATTTTCAAATCATTCAATTTGCTTCATCCGAGAGCTCTACTTGCTTGAGCTCTACTGCCAAGACAAAAGGAACCATGCCAACATAAAGGTAAATGGAGCAATAGATCGATCTTTCAATTATTTGAGCGAAACTAAGGTGTATCCAATTAATTTTTACCTGTTCTTTTGTATGTTTTGGGTTTTTTTCTTACATAATGTGTTGTTTCCAGAAGTGGTTTAATATATAGTTTTGTTTAGTGGTGAAGTCCTGATTTTTGTGATTTTATAATTATCTATTTGATATTAGTATAACAAAGATTCCTCTATAATTCTCAGGTGATCGAAGTTAACCATATCAGGTATCTAAATCTACGAATTTTCAGGTGAATCACTCATTTTGAAGAAAGTTCAATCCTGTTTTTTTTTTGGATCCAAAAAAATTATAAGTATCAGATATTTATGCGCTAGAGATTGTAGAGTTGATTGAATCTCACAATCTCAAGTATCTATCTTCTTTAATCGATAAATAATTATAAATGTTGTGTCAAGCTCATTTAGTTTTAACAAAGGTGAATCATGTCTTTGTCTTTACTTTTTCCCTTTTATTTTATTAGAAAATTAGAAAATATGAAGACTTAGATGATTTGATGAATCAATATCAAAGATGACATCTAATATGGGGGAAAAGTCTTCAAACCTGTATTAGTTACGCTTCTGAAGCCAAAGGTGGAAAAAACATTCAAAATAGTCCCCTAAAGATCAAAAACATATAAGACTATGTCAATGAAGTTAATGGGATCAAAGAAAATTCATAAGGGTATAGAAGATACTTATTTATTGATTTATACCAATTGTTCATTATCATAGACATATAGTCATTAACAGAATGGTAAATTGCTTCTCTATTCTAGGCAAGTTTTTTTTATATATAATCTCCAAGCTAATTTTTCTCTATGATGGTGAAAAACCTATAAGACTATGGGCGAGACAACCACTATGCACAGTTATGATTCGGAGATGCAATACCTCTTCAATTTCAGGTAAACCAATTACTCTATTTTACATGTAACTAATATTTTTTATGACCGGTTGATTCTGTTGTTTTGTGATGAATTATTATTCTTAGAGTGCAAATGAAATAGTAGTTATTCTGAATCTAGGAGTAGGAGCTTTCTCATTCTTTGGTCAATGCTTCCGAATAAAACCCTATTTTTTGGGTTGTACCTGGAGTGCTCAAAAGATGAGTTTGTTTCTCATAATAAAGAGTGAATTCTCTGCATTGTTGGTCTCTATCACTGAACGTCGATTAGGCCTCGGGGTCAAGATCCATTGATAATGAAAATGCTGGAAAAGTATATCTTTTCATTTAGTATCTGTTTAAGGTTCTCTATGATTAGATGTGATTGTGCAGACTCATTTCTATCCTTAAGTAGTTTATTTGCAAATGAGAATTTTAGATTTATATATTTGGTTATAATCTAGAATGATTACCATGAAGTATAAATATATATTTGTGACACTTATCAGTACAATAATTATCTTGAGATTCTTGACAATTATATGATATCTTTTTTTCAAGAGTCTTAATGTTCTTTTTAGGCATGTTTAAATGCCTAAATGTTTCTTTTAAGGAAGGCAAGCATAGTTTGCATGCTCATTGTTTGGGTCCTTTGGGAACTTAGGTTCGTAAATATAGATTTTGGGTCCTTTGGGAACTTAGGTTCGTAAATATAGATTTTGTGTAAATTTTTGTACGATTCAAATGTAAAACTTTAGGATTGAATGACAATAAGACCTGTTTATCACTTTTATTGTGCATGCGTTAGAGTTTCCTGCTCAAGGCCTTTTTTCCCGCCTCTTTGATAATATTAAGTTTTTATTTTTTGAGTGGCAATGGTTCTATGATGTGATCAGAATCTAAATAAATTATTATTGCCGCTAATTCGGGGGAATTTTCGGTCAAAAGAAATTGTGAGAAGATTACAACAATAGAAATCAAAACTATTAACTAGAGTTAATTTCCATGACATTTGATACAAGTATTTAAAATACTGAAAAAATTATTGTAGTAGGATTCTAAGTTGTAGATATCAGAAAGAATACTAAGGGTTTGTTATCCTTGATAATATTAGATACTTGATTAGTTCATGTTTTGATTAGTTCATTTTTTTGTTTCAGGTACTAAAAGGAAGAGACTGAAAGGAGGCAGAGAAAAGAAAACTAATGGAGAACAAAATAGATCCTACTTTTGTTGTTCCAAAACATTATATTTTTGGACTAAGTTTAGTAATTATCAATAATGACTATATATTTATGCTTTGTTTTATAAGTTCAATTTCAGATCTTAGTTTTCTAGAACAGAAAGCTTTCATGTAAGACTTAATACTACTGCATGTCATATATATATATATACCTTTCATGTAAGACTTATTAGTACTGTTTGTGTGTGTATGTTTGTGAAATAAATATTGAATCGAACTGATGCATGCTATATAAACCTTAGAAAACTCTCTGAATTAATTTATTTTAAATGTAATTCTATACATACTAAGCTGGGTAGCATATGAGGAGATTAAGAATACTTGATTGCTTACTATGTAATTGCTTTCAAATACTTGGTATTATACAAAACATGTAAACTAATTAGTGAACATATATTGTAATTTCATTCTGAGGAAAAGCTTGAACAACTAAACAAGGAAAATTGTTCAAATGATTAATGACTATTTGACAAAATTTGCTTAACAGGTAATTGTCCGGCTTACTATCAGGAAAATTGTGTACCATTAGTAAATTTAAGGTGTCCACCAAAAGGATCGGATATGTCCGGCTTACTATCAGGAAAATTGTGTACCATTAGTAAATTTAAGGTGTCCACCAAAAGGATCGGATAACCGTGCTTTGCACGGGGTGCATACTAGTACCATTAGTAAATTTAAGGTGTCCACCAAAAGGATCGGATAACCGTGCTTTGCACGGGGTGCATACTAGTTTACCATTAATTTTAAAGAATAAGAAGATAAAAAAAGTGAAAAGTCACGTCTCTGTTCTAAAAAGAAAGAAAGATAAATAAGCTCCAACTGAGACTGTATAATAGACGCCCCTAATTAATTTTATTTTGCAATAAGCATACCTCCTTACAGATGTAACAAGGTCATGAGAAGTAGTGCTTAATTTCTGGATCCAATGCTCCACTTGTCCAACTGTTAAACAAAACTTAGTCACTTAGATAAATCGAAAATTAGTGGTTCTTTTGAATATGAAATTTATGACATCTAAACTTGAGTTAAATATTGTTTTCCAGACAACATATGTGTTCTCGTTTATGTTGAATCTACAGCTGCAAGCTTATTACAAATTACAAACTTATTTTCAAAATAACAGCTAATTTACTAACAGAGCCAATGGCATAGTCTCTAAGCTTGGATACCCATCAATCTCTCGACCAACATTAATTATTAACTCTAGTTCCTCTCAAGCCATTAACCTCCATAAGCAGCTTTAACACTAACATTGTAATCATAAACATCAACATATGAGATAGTAATTTGGTCATAAATTATGGTTCCAAACAAGCAAATTCAAGCTTCATACATACTCATTGAAGCTTTGAAGAATAAAGCTAAGACACTAAAAGGGAAACCCTAGAAATTACCTCTAAGGCGATCGATGGCATAGAGCTCGAAACCAAAGAATACAATTCCTTGAGACATCAATACTGCATTAAAATTAAATAGAAAAAGACAAATGTAACTCCCACTAAATAACACTGCTAGGATAAACATCAAACAACAAGTGATTATTGAGCTAACCGTTTCTTGCTGCATATAGATAGATTAGCATCCAACACCTCTGTTTCCTACCAAAGAATCAATTAGAAAAAAAGAATCATTTTTTATTACTTTCGCCTACGGGCTCGATCCCTCATCCTTCCTTTTCATCTCCTTCTAAAGTATGCATCAACTTTCCAAGTACTTTTCCTATTAAAGGAACAACATGCAGTATGCATCAACTTTGCTAGTGTGATGCCAATGGAGATTAACATAATACATATGCACATCTGTCTATGAATCTTAAGGACACTGATTACAGACACAAACCAATTTTGGATATTATTAGATGTCCATTACACCCTAACTTCCAGCATGTTAAGTATTATATTTGATACATTCATGGTTAAAATTATTTTTAAAAATCTGAAATATAGAGATCCTAGAGACGTTTGCTTCGTATGAATTTGCAAAGTTTAGAGCAAAGATGTACATAGTCAAGCAAATCAATATATTATATTAATCTAAATATAGAGATCCAAGCATCATCAAAATGAATAATACTCCTAACTTTAAAGAAAAAAAGTTAACAAATTAATGTCACCAAAAGCAATCATGCACCTTAGATTGCTGTGGTTACCGGTAGGAGTATCAGGCTGGAATTGTGGCATGAACTCACATTACAAACACTCATGTTCAACAATGATATAGTGCAAATCTCCTAAAAATAAGTCTAAAGGCGAACGAGTAAGTTAGCGCATAATCAAACGAACACCTACAGACACACATTACATATATAACTGGAACTCAGAGAATGCATAAGTCTAGCATATCAAGAGAATCAAGTCATCACCATTCTCAATGTTGATTCCAAGTGTTCTTATTATATGTAATAATCACAACATTTCACATGCTCTAGAAAGCAATGCAATTTTTCAAATTAGACAACTAAAATCAGTAAAACGCAACGAAAAAATTACAGTAAAATCCAATTGTAAGGAACGTGAAATTTTGATACTAGTTAAAATAATTTTCTTGTATTTTAACATATTTAATTATAATTTTAAAAGAGTAATTGTATTTTTCTCGGCCTTCTAGAATTTTCTATGATTTAGAAATCTAAATTTTATATTTATTTAAATGATTTTGATATTTATAAATTTATTTTATGCGGTAAATTTTTTTGAAATTAATCTGTTGTGTTATCAGTACTATTATGTATTATTTAAATAATATATTGTATTATTAATATTATTACGTATTATTTCATATAATACTTTGTATTATTAATTACGTATTATTTGTATAATTTGTTATATTATTTTGACTATTACAAATTATCTGTCGTATTAGTATAACTAGTACATTTTACTGTGTATATAATTATCCCATAATTATTTGTTTTTGAATATAAGTAAATATATTTTATTTATTAATTATTCTTGTTTAAATTATACAATATGTGTATATTTCGATTATTTCGTATCAACTGTTATATTAGCACAACATGTATGTTTTTTTTGTAGATAATTATTTTATAATTAGTTTAATTTTTAAATACATGTAATTATTTATTTTAATTATTTTTTCGTTAGATACCTAAACCCTAACCCTAACTAATATTATATGTATATATACACATGTAACCCGTAACCAAAACCTAACCGCCTCTTTTCTTCCAACTCTTTCTCTCTTCCTATCTTCCCTCTCTCAGATTCCCGCACTCCTCCGCCTCCATGTCGTCGGACAGAGCGCCGACCCCTCGCCGACGCCACCAGACCCAGCTGTGCTCCCGCTCGGGCCTCCCCACCCTAGCACGGTGCCCGACGTACCTCTGGCCACGCTCTGCGCCACCCAGCACTGCCCCGTCACTCCGCACAACCACCACAGCGTTGTCCAGATTCGAGCTCTCCGCCGGACCGCTGAGATCCCCTGACCCACGCCGCCCGACGCCGGCCAGCCGCCAGTTGTTAGATCTACATCATTAAAACTGAGATTCTAAAACCATATAGCCATGATTTCAATTCAAAGAGATTAACAATAATCTAAAATGAGCGGGAAGCTTATACCTGAATCCATGGGGATGGAAACTTGATTTGGGTTTTTGATAGATCTTCTTAACCTTAGGGTTTCTCCAAATCCGAAGTTTCTCTAGCTAGGATGGGGGTGTAAGAGAATTATGAGAATGTAACCTAGGTTATGGGACCATTAATCCCTTATTTATAGATGTTGTACTTTGTAATTTAGCCCCTCAATAAAATCACAATTACAACCTTGGTTATCTGCACATATAAACCCATGACTTATTTAAATACCAAGTTAACCCAGCTTAATTGATCACTTTAGTGGGTTATCCTGAAAGATAGCAATACACATGATTAATCATATGTGCCCAACAAATAGATTTATTAGATTGAGAATCCAACAGATCTCCCACTTTGGGCACCATATGATTCCTTAAACTGTGTATTAGACCTTATGAGACTCCAAGAATTTGCTATCACTGAATATGGTATTTCCGAAACAATCTTCGTCCAGTTGACTAATATCCAATATTTAGGATCAAAGCGGCTTCGTCACAGTTATCGTGACTCGACCCATCAATGGTCACATTATACCAACTTACAATCAATGACATAGATCAATCATGGATGTGCAGCATGAAAATTACATGCAATGTGATCAGTACATGTCTATTTTCAACTGGGGTCCTCCTTAGTGAGGTCAAAACCAAACATAATGTGAACAGAAGTGTCTTAACTCGAAAAACTTTATTTCTGATCAGACCAATACAAACAAAACATAAAGCACACAAATACAAACTCCCACTAAAACAAATATCCTCAAATAATACCACACCCATAATGAGCAGTATGGCTCATGAAAGGACCTTTAGCGTGGCAAATCCCTTAGTAAGAGGGATCAATTCTCTCTCTTT